CAAACCACGGAACCGAGTGTAGGTTCGGGCCCACGGGAGTAGAAAACGCTAAAGGGGACTTGTTTAATTTTTATTTCGCTATGTGAGACTCACCGGAGCTAATTAAATCGATGGCGGAGATAATTTACTCGACGAGTCAGGCCTATTGGCAAAGCTAAGATCGGTTATAATTCGCTAAGTTCGACGCTTTCGAACTTCGAGGGTCGCTGAGATCGTAACGCTAATTCTCTGAGATGGTGAAGTCGAAACTTGTTTTTCTGTATGCTACTTTGTACAATTTATACTACAGGAATGGCTTTGCGACCGTTCGGAGATAAATAACAAATAAACGCCGCTACCCACAGGATTGCTCAGCACTTTCCTCCGCTATACCATACACCATACGACTCTCTTGCGCTCCCACTTGCTCTTTCCAGCCCCTATAGGTCGCCTCGACGCTCCGCCACCTGACCCAAGCGGTCCCATCACTCCGTGCGACATGCCGGTCACGTGTTAATTACCTCCGGCCGTTTGCTGACTGATGCTGACCTTATGGTGACTCGTATGCGTCCGCACCTTCGGTATCTTGACGGAAACGAGGGGGAGTGAGTGCTGGAGGGTGGGCATGAGGACGACACCCCTTGATAGAAGTGTCCGCGGGTCCCGGAGCTAATGCAGCTAGAAGTCGCATTGGTTAAGTCACTCCGGAGCTTCGGTGCGCGGAGATAAATCGTGGAATGGGTCCATGTACGCCTCGAGGATGTTAGGAAGTCCGGAGCTAAATAGAAAAAGTCTTTTAGAGCCCATAGAAGCCTAGAGGCATGCGAGCGCTGTGTTGAATAAGCTCCGGGGTGCTTGTATGATGTGCTGAATCCGCGTTTTCGGGGGTCAGACGATCCTGGGGCTTATCAACGAATATGTCGGATTTGGTATCTCAACCCAAAGCAGCACTATCAAGTGAGAGACATGCTGGGATATGTTTCTGAGACCCTATACTACAGTACTGAACATCATTATGGCCTATCCTTGCCCTACAGCTAGCAGGAATCTGCGAAAATAAGTGTGTAAAGGAATAGCACTGTGTAAAGGACTAGTGATGCTGCAGTCCGGCTTGGTCCGGTTATTGGCCCAAATTTCCGGACCTGGCACCGGACCCAAGGTCCAGTCCGGGTAAATGTCCAGACTGTGAACCTCAAAGAACCCAAAATGGTGTTGGGTCCAGTCAGGTTCGGGTTCGAACCCTTCAAAATCACCATAATTAGGTACAGTTTGGGCATTGTGGCTCCACCTGGACATTTCAGGTTTGGTGGTCCGAGGTTCGAACTGGTTCTCCCAGGTTCGGGAACTGGACTGCGGCATCACTATAAAGGACTGGTTGATGCCTGTATTGGTTCAAGCGAAATGCCGAACGTTCACCATTGACATAAAAAGTAGCAGCCATGTGGCAACACGTGCTGCCTCAGATCTTGACACGATCATAGGAGACCTGTGAACATCCGGGGGGTCTAAGACCCGGAGGTAAGGCCGACACACCCAACTGCCTTATTCGAACACACTATATATATTTGGTGCCATACCTTGATGGTGTAATAGTTGTGGTCATGTGATGCCACCGCTCGTGCTGTCGGACTTCATCCTCTCGCAAAATTTGCCAAGTCCCCTTCCGGCCAAATGTAGTGGCTTGAAGCTGGTACTTGTGGTACAGTTCAGGCCTGGAAGGGATACGTTCAGCGCACAGCGACAGCTTAGTTGGGCATTTGAATGATCTCCTAGTCTGACAACGTGCGCGTCTGTGAACAAACAGACAAGTAAACCCACTTAGCACGTCTAACGAACAAGTGCAAAGATGGGGGTGTATCTACGGGAGCGTTGTACTTAAGGTCCTCGAGCTCGCAAGGTACAGTACAGCAATCTAGATACGTCAAAAGGCTATCACAACGCTATATGAGCTGTCAGAGTGATAAAGAGTTACGATAAGAGAACGAAAGATAAACATAACCCAAAAAGGAAACTATATCGCTAAATTGGGAATCCGTGCAGTTTGCCACAGCCTGAGAAACAGAGCGGTGTCACCTCACTGATTCCCACAGTCGCTCCAACACCATCCGTGCATTCGGGAAGGCAAAATACCTGGAAATGAGCAGAGCACAGATGCTGAGGTTGCTGTTATTTCTGTGTCTGCGGTAGCGGGCTCTGCCGTGCTCGCGCGGCCTTACAGCCTTATTTTATACGCTCTCGAGGAGTATGAAATGTTGAACGGGTGAAGTTTTGGAGCATGTGGATCATGATGTAGTCCAGTTACTGACCCGGTAAACCCGAGATCATAATGCACTTGAATGTCGCCCTCGCATGCACTGACATTTAATCGAAAAGGTTACAATTGTTTCTCACAAGAAACAACTCTTCTATGCATTTCCATCACGATATGTAGAAGGAAAACATGCCATCCTGATAGGGGAAGGGGCCACAGTTATCCTCCTCGTCCCACTCATCTCGTAATCGATCACATTCAGCCTTAACATTCGCATAGTCTTTATGGGAAACTAGGCCGTCTACACCGGCATGCAGCCGCTCGGCGAGCTTTCGTACGGCGTGATTGTAAACGGTCCACCGTAAGGTACCTTCACAGAGGGCATTGAGCTCGTCCGCTGAGAATTCTATCGGGCATGGCTCGCCGGCGAGAGTTGGAATCATGTCCCAGTCATCTCTTATAGACATGAGAGCGTCGAAGAGTCTGAACGTGGACTCCCTATCAGAGCCAAGCACGAGAAGGGGGAGTATATCTAACTCCCACGCCCGTGGCACGGAGATCGCAGTGAAAGCGCGACGCCGGTCATTGTTTGCTATAAGCCACTGATATGCCTTGTATCTGAAAAGTAAGAGGTAATGGCCGAGGAGAGTGTTCTGCTCTTCAAGAGTACGACCGGACATATCTGGCAGCTCCTTGGGTATCTCGATCTCCTCGGGGATGGGCAGTAGGTTCCCTGCATACACGAAGTCCCTGGAAATGACGCTCTGCGAAAAATAGGGACCAACGATGGCGTTCCGCCAGTCAATGATGCCACATATTTTGATATCAGGTTCGGTGGTCACCAGGAGGTTGCGATCATTGATATCCGGGTGCCAGATTGTCGGGCGGCTCAATTCTTCGGGAAACATTTTCAGGAGTACTGGGATGGTCCGCATGTATACCTTGATCAACTTCGTGTACAAGTCCGTAGCAAGGTAAGGCAGTCGACCCATGGCAACGTCGTAAGACTCGGAGTGGTCGAGGCGAGCCAATTCGATTTTGGCAGCTGTCAAGTAATATGAAGATGCGTCAGGCCCTGCGATGTGTCAAGTTAGTTTTTCGTTTTCCGGAGGTCTCGCCACGCACATGGGCCACGATCGACCTTCAGCTGGCGATGGCATCTCCTCCACCACTGTTCATGAACCAGAGGCCCTATTCGGTACTTCTCCGAAGCGGCTTTCAGCTTTTCGTCAAGTGGAACACCCTCCCTGAACAACTGTCGACTCCGTAGGGAAGGCTCCACGTCCTGAGCAAAATAGAGGCTTCCGAACTGAGAAAACGGAGCTTTGTCGAATGCACTTTCCCACTGGAACAGCTGCTGCAGCGCGCCCATAAGTTGATCGCCTGTTTTGAGAGATGGCCAGTGATAGTCGAGCGTAACACCGTCCATCTTCTCGAGCACCATGTATTCAGCGCCGATGTTATTGCCTGTGGCATCCCCAGACCAGGCCAATACACGAGGTGCAGGCAATCCAAGGACCTCCCGTGAAAACTCTGTCGTAGCCACCTCGCTTGCGACTGTGGAGTACCCACAGCCAGCGAGGCCGAAGGGAATGCGTAATACAGCTTCCTTTCCATTACTGCAATGTAACAAGAATACCCTGTTTTGAGCGCCTGGATGATCGTGTCGTTAGAGTGCATGGAGTCGCTAAAGATAAATCGCACACCTTCTCCAATTTTCTGGAAGGTATCGACGCTAGCAGCACCGACCGCCTCACATACAACCGCGGAAGCAGCCTCGATGTTGAAAGGCACGAAGCGAGCTGCGTTCTCTTCATACACCACGGCAAGCTTGGTCAGAGCAAAACTGAAGAAATGGACAAAAGTAAGTCCTCACGTGCAGACTCGTTATATAACCATCTTCCGGCAGTGTAATTAAAGAGTGTGGAATTCTCATCAGTAGCTGTTGAAGTCGCCATGGCACGCTCAGCCATGACCGCGCACGAAACAAGCCGGGGACACGGGGAACGAGGGACTCGACCAGCAAGTAGAGCGGCGAACGACCTCGAAACGCCTACGATGGGGGGCATGGGGGTGATCACAATGCGTGGAGAGAGTTCTTAAGGGTGGAACGCCACCGGAAGTGGTGGCCACGTGGCGAGGATGCGGATTTCGCGCACAATTTGAAGTGCGCCACCGATATTGGATCTGAGATCTTATGGTCAAACTTGAACTCAGGCTCTGGCGACTGGCAGTGGTTCGCGAGGCAAGTACAGTAGTCCGGGTTTCGGGATGCACAGGGTCCAGAGGTGACGGATTGATTATCATTCCCCGTTTCAGTCCTGCTACGATCGTAAAGGGACACATCTTGGATGAAGTCACAGTGTGTAGGCGCCACCTCAGGCTTGCATAATTTACAAGCTGTTGTTGCGAATGCTGGTGACTACGAAGCGGCGGGTTAGACGCTGCTCGGGTATGGGTTGGAACTCGGAGCTCCCGAAACCCTGCGGGCGTGCAGGGGTCATACTGCACATTAGCTACATGTTCGTCTGCGCGACAATCCTGCTCCGGACAGGCGACCAAACCGGCTCAGGCAGGTTCGTCTCCAATCTGTGGCGTCTGGATCTGAACAGCCAGGCGAAGAACGGTTACCTAGCGCCACTTCACTACCTTTCTGGTGAGCATTTCATTTCCTTCTGGAATACATTGCAGTGAAGACGCACTTCTGTTGTCTACAGGAATTCCCTTATTCGCGTAATGTGGCACCCATTCACGCGTCGAGGAGAAGGACTACTAGATTGAAATGAAGCCGTACTCCGAGGCGTCGCATCTACTGTCTCTTCTTTTACTGTACCTCAAGAATTACTCAATATGTCCTTGTGGCGTACGCGCAACGTGCCAGTATAAAACTTGGGGAGAAGTCGGGAGAAAGAGACCATAAAGCGCATAGAAGGGTATCTGAGGGCATGTTCCATCGGTCAAGACCGTTGCTCGAGGGAAAGGTGCCTACTACCATACATGTCATGTTGTTTAACTGCTTACTGTGTATTTGTATTTCTGGGTGTATATACATGATCGTCCTGAGCCAATGATGAAGGTCCGATCTAACCATTCTTTTGTTTGCGCTGGCGTGTCTCCTCGGATTTTCCGTAGGAACAAATGCCTATCAAGCTTGAGCTGATTACCAGACGTAGAGAACGGAACGAGTAGCTTTGAAATCCATAGAGACTGGCGTGCAATGACTTAGCCTCTAATTAGTAAGACAGCTTGAAGTACAGACTCCATAACTCGGACAATGTTCAGACTACTTACGGCGGTCGCCAGGCCATCCCAATCGAACAACGCTTGACCAGGCTGTCAGCCAATCACAGACGAGCATGATACTGGGATTATGTAACATGTGAGCAGATCTATCGGGCACTCGCGCCTCATTAGTTACGCATTAGCTCGTAGCTTCCAAGCTATCAGCTTTGGATTCAGGACTTCACGGAGCCATGGCTTACGAGAGTGTGTGTGTTTTGATCAAAGCGGTATTAGCGATGATATGAATAACTTTCAGCCTGCTGTGGTAGACCGTAAGTAGCGAGCACCGTGACAGTGTCACAGTGGTCTTAAGCGGGACCCCGTTGTCACGTAAGGATGCGATCTACATACCACTTCTCTCGAATTACGATATCTCCAGCAGAGCAGTCCCCTGAATTACAGTTCGTACCGGTGCGTTTGTATACCGCGCAAATGCGCCCCGACAAACAGGTGACACCAAACCCCTCCCATCGCCTCCGGAGTCATGCTTCCCCAGTGCATGTAGCTTGCTTTTCTGAAGATAACAAACGTATATATACGGGGGACGGCTCAGGCTGGGTGATGATTACCAGCACTCGCACACTTCGGGCTTTGGCATCCTGGAAGGCTCATGCGGATAGCCTGCTCGGGATACAAGAGTGGGAGGATTCCATTATCACGTAACATCTGCACTACTCTTACACCTGTACCAGAAGCTAATTTCGGGACCCAGACAGCCACGCACGGGATAATAAACTATATGTCTGGAAGAGTCTTCATGAAGCACGCATGGCCCTGGGAGGGTCGGCAGCCCTTCCGGGTCTGCAGACGCCCAGCCTGCTGTACGCCATGGATGTTAATGCTCTAAACTATTGCCGGTTTTCCCTCTGCCCTCTACCGCCGCCGCGAAGGACAGGCGAGATATCAGCTCTCCTTGCTGTGCCTAACTTGATCGAGTCATCATTGGTGAGTGCACTCGGGGTGAATGTGCTCGGTTTCATGGAGGGAGTCGCAGGCAGACGTATGGACACTGCCGTCCCCACAGAGACTGCACGCTGCGATTGGAAAAACTGAGTGGTTCAGCACCCCTGCCGCAGACGGCCATGGCGGTAGTAAGAGCGGTACGACACACTACTACCTCCGAGACGATTGTCATGTGTTCCTTACTATTGGACTCTCCTAGGTATAATAATGTCTATGCACCTATTTCTGACCGACACTGGAGAACTCCGCATACTCCTTGGCTATGAGAACGGTGCGGTGACGATGTGGCGGTATTCCCGTACAGATAACGAAACGTCCGTCGAGGGCGTCGGGTGGGAGTCCATCTGGAGCCACAAGCTGCATCTCGAATCCGGTGAGTCAGGCTACATCGTGTATGATACGTAATAATTACTGATCCTCCATTCTCACAGTTATGGCGATGGCGGTGACGCCGGATAACTCGGTCGCTTTAACGGTGTCCGCAGATCACATCATAGGACGGTACGATCTTCGGGTCAGTTCTATGTCCGTGCACTGCAACGAATCTTAGCTGATGGTGCATCTCTTTCGTCCATGACCAGGCTGCAGAGACACCGGAGGTGGCCATTCAGAATGCCTGCGTAGCTCACAAGACAAAGAGCATCGGGCACTCCACCATCGCCATCCGAGACGACGGCAGGATCTGCGCAGTCGGCGGGTGGGACGGCAAGTGCGCCCTTTCATTCCTGTATCATAAACCTACAACTAAGTCTTTGCAAAAGGATCCGCTTATACTCGACCAAGACGCTCAAGCCTCTCGGTACCCTCACCCTCCACAAGAACGCATGCCAAGCCCTCGCCTTCGCTCGCTACACCGCCCGCCCCGCAGAGAAGCACGCCACCCCCACCGGCTCCGAAGATGCGCTCGGGGAAGACGACGACATGACCGAGGAAGAGCGGGAAGAGAGAACGCGCTGGCTCGTTAGCGGCGGCCGCGACTGCAGAGTAGCTATATGGCCCTTAATGAGCTTTGCCAAGACGTGAACTCGGTACGGCGATCATGTGTATTATGGTAAAACGACAGGGGCAGGGAAATACATGCAGAAAGAGGAAGTGCAATACATCGATCTATCCATCCATAACAGTAACACTGCGGATCCGAATCACCATTACAAAAGATCATCGAAGACAACAACATGGGGAGAATACCTGAGAATACACAAGCGGGAGCAGAAACGAATACTGGGAGAATAATAGAACAGGAACAGAAGGGCGTTTATGATCACAACAACAGAATGGATGATCCTGGGACGAGACGTACATGCGACTAAGGTAATCCGGGACCTTGCCAGCGATTAAGGCAATAAAAATAGCGTTCCGTGCCGGAGAAGGCCAGTGCGAGAACGAGTATTGCGAATCCGGATGCAACTATTGATTAAATTAAACAAGTGTCCAGGCAGAGAAGCAGATGGGAGTGAGTCCACGCCAGCGCAGCTGACATCGGGCTTGTAGGTCCGTGCGGTTGCATCGTGATCGTAGCTAGCTTGCGTATCGTGGGCGTCGTAGGTCATTCGCCTTACACAAGGGCGGCAGACTTGAGATATCCTCGGAATATCGAGTCACGAACTGCGACAAGACGTCAGAAGCAAGCAAACCACACGAATTGGGGAATGCGCTTACCATTGGCGATGATGCTTTGTGTAGCAAGCGTATCCTATGGAAACCAGTCAGTACTCCATGCAATCGGCGAAGAAACAGCAGCATACTGTAACATTAGTGAGATGGGTGTACAGTACTCGTTTGTTCTCGTTATTCTTCTTGTGCACTTGCAGGAAGTGCGCACGGAAGTAAGACACGACGCTTTCGTACTCGTTTGGTCTGTCACCGAATGAAGTGATACTGCAATTTCATCAGCTCTCCCATGTCGACATTCCATTAGTATCGTAATACGCACTATTTGTTGACCTTCAATCCGGAGGCTAGCTTCGCCTGGAGGACGTCCGTCTTGTCTACGGAATGTGTAAATCACACGCGCATATTCAAATTGAAAGTGTTTCACTCACTCAGGAATAGCACAAGATGAACCTTCTTGAGCAGCTGGTTCGAGCAAATCTGTGTGAAAAGCTGCAACGAATCGTCGATCCTATTCGTCCGCGCGTCTTCCTCCAAATACTGCACAATTCATCGGCTATTCAGCAAAGCCGGCCACCGGATGAGATTGAACACCGAGCACCCACCTGATCAAACGCGCTAATGGGCGCGACAAAGATGATCGCGTTCGCGTCATCGAAGTACGGGATCCATGAATGCCGCTGGCCCCGGGCGCCGCCCACGTCGAAGAGGTGCCAGGTGACAGACTTGCCGTGGAGGTCGACGTCGAAGGTGTGCTCGGCGACTCCCATGGTTTGGATGCGGGCGTGGAGGATGTCGTCTGCATGATCGTGTGAACTAGAGTAAATACGGAGTGAACGGGTAAACCCTGCAGAAAACACTGACCAATAGTGGGAGTATAGCCTGGCTGCGCGATACGCATAATGTCATTGAGGAAGCTAGCGAGTGAATGTAGAAATGAGAACCAGCAGTACTCTGACGACGAGGAAGAGCGGGGACGTACAAATGTGACCATTCTTCCAAGCGAAGTTTCCGCTTGGAGATCATGCGCCGCACGGTGGGATGCTCCCAGAGCTCCTTTATATCGTCCTTGGAGGCGTCGAGCATTCGCGCTACGTCTTCCACCATCTCGTCCTTGATCGCGGCATCGCCTTTGAGCTCGGTGTTTCGGCTGTCAATGCTCGCCCTACCCTGGCGCCGTCCGAGGAGTGTGCGGTTCTGCCAGCCGTTGCGCACGAAGACACCGCCCTTACCGGATCCAGACACCGTCACTCCACCGCTCAGACGGTCGCCGAGACCTGCCTCGGCGAGCACGAGAGGGGACAAGCGCAACCTCAGCGTAGCTATTTGTTTCTGGGATTCCGACGCAGGAGGGGCCGAGTCCGATCGCGGCAGATGGCTCTGGGAGCTCCCCGCGTAGTTGCTCTGGAGGGCATGAGCGCTGCTCGGGGATCCGGTGACAGTATCGGTCCCATCGCCGTGGCCGCTGGTAGCGGACCCGTCGTCCGACGCGTCGTCATACGCCTCGAGGGTGTCGAGGATGCGCCTGATGGAACGTACAACATTGAAGTACACGACAGTACGCCACGATAGGCGCTCGCGCTCGAGAGAAGCGGGGTTGTACATCAGCTGGAACTGCTTCTGCAGCGTGGATTTCCCAGACTCTGCCTGCCCCAGCAGCAGAAGCTGTCGGCAGCGCGGTCGTTAGACTACCGGTACACGTACTGCCACAAACGCAAGACGTACTTTCACATCCTCCTTGTACTTCTTCAGTTTCTCGCGCTCCTGGCGAATCTGCTCGTCAATCTCGTCAGATATGCGCTTCGATTCCTGCTCCTTCTCGAGCCTCGCCCGCCGCTGCGCGTCTGTCTCCGATTCCGGAGGGCGCATGACGAAGGTCAAGGGGTCGGAGTCGGTGCTGTAGACGGAGGGCGGGCGGGTCGTGCGTATCATGGTGGGCTGGAGGAAAGCGGTGGTAACTAGGATGGATAATAAAGGATAATAGGCTACACGGCGATGCGCTGGAGAGCGCTTCTGAGTGGGATGATGGAAGGACAAGTCGGACTGATTTTCTGTCCGAAAGCGCGTCGGCCCCGCAATATAGCAGTCACGTGGGTGGCACCAGGACCCCTGATTTCCCTGCATCGTGAAGCGGGATGTAGTCTGTATTGTAAGACTTGGTCAGCCTATACGCTCTGCATTTGGAGCTTGTCTCTCTGTGACTCTGAGTGGTACAGAGAATATTTACTACTTGAAGTCAGGATCCAAATCCAAAATTTGCCCGTGCTTCACTAGGGGTGATCAGGGTCCTTTCCCCCTTCATGCTGTGCTGTAAGAACCGGATTGCAGTGCTGCTATCGGCTGCCAGTGCAAGGTTCTTGTTCCTGTCTGAACGGCGAGCAGGTACGCTTCGCTGCTGCCAACCACGACAAATGGTATGTTCGGATTATATTCTGTTCGTCTGCTTTTCATGACGCCACGTACAGTCAGTGACTTTGCATACCACTCACGGCGACATCAAGGTGCGTCGGTCCGATATCTTCGACGGCCCCCACTGATTGACCCGCATGGCATGGCTTACTTAGATCGAGGTCTTTTGCGAGGCCGTACCGAAGACCGCGGAGGTATTTCTCCAGCGCGCTATCCAGCTTATCAAGCAATATGAATCACATCTTCTCAGAACTTCCTCGCGCTATGCGCGTCGAACTATTACGACAACTGCCTGTTCCACCGCAACATCAAGGGCTTCATGGTGCAGACAGGCGACCCCAGCGGCACGGGCAAGAACGGGCAGAGCATCTGGGGGAAGCCCTTCCCCGACGAGATACGCTCCACGCTCAAGGTGCGCCTGCCTGCGCAATCATACAGTGCCCGCCACTAACGCTGATCCGGATTGCCCGCATCAGTTCAACGCGCGCGGCATCGTCGCGATGGCCAACTCGGGCCCTGACACGAACAAGTCGCAGTTCTTCATCACGTACGCGAAGCAGCCGCACCTCGACGGTAAATACACCATCTTCGGCAAGGTCATCGACGGCGCGGACTCGACGCTCGACGCCATCGAGCGTGTCCCCGTGAACAATAAGAATCGGCCGCTCACTGAAATCCGCTTGACGCATGTGCGTGTACCTGCCTCTCCTCATATCTTTGCTATGTGGATACGACTCTCCCTGTCAATTTTGCTGATGCGTCGGTGCAGGTTACGATCCACGCTAATCCCATAGCGGACGCGCAGCTACGAGGATGATGGAGCTATGATAGCACTGGACATGTAGATCACATCAACACTAACGCGACGCTAGTACGTTCTTGTAGCATGACCTGACTCCCCATTGGTCTGATATGTTCATATGACGATTACAGCTCTCGCTACACTGGTGATGCAATGATGGATCTACTGATATTTCAATCGCAGAGCCAAGGGGCAGTCCGAGTCGCGATCGCTAAACAATTCGCTCTTGGACGCATATCCCTGCGGCGACATCCAACCCAGGTTAGGGTTTGGGTCATGAATCGATGAGACAGCCTACCAATTGCTTCGACTCCAGGCATCCTGAAAAACTGGCGTACATGAAGCATGTCCGTACCCCATGAGATTGTGCTGCCCAGTAGTTATAATACACTTGCACGACTTCTCCTTTCCATGCACGAATCTATCATCGCTTCATGAAACCCACCAGCTCCTTCTGCAGCTCCCTCTGTCTCCGCTGCCTCTCCAGGCTCTCGATGCTACGCAGGTCGTACACCACATCACGCGTCTTGCCAAAGTACACCTACACAATCGCTCAGCGATCAACTATGATATCCAGAGAAAGGAGCAACAACTCACCTCCTGCAGCAGATTCCTCATTTTAATCTCCATCTCTTCGATCATGCGGCCCATATTCGTGATGTGCGATTCCTGGTTCTGCACCGGGCAATCCTGTTCCGTCTGTGCATACCCCGCCGTCAGCCGTCGGTATTCACACACATCACAGCTTCCCCGCACCCACCTGTCTCGTCATACTCCCGCTCAACGAGATATCCCCGCTCGACTTGATCCCCTCGAGCGGCGCGCCGCTCCCAGGCTTCTTCTCCACGCCCTTCTCCTTCTCCGTGCTCGAGTCGGAATGCGTGACGAGCTCGAGCATGATCGTCGACGTGAGCTTGTAGTGCGCCTGCCGGCCGCGCTCCGCGGCTTCAAAGACGTGTATGGAGTCCCAGGAGCCAGAGGGCTCGGAGGCGGTTGATGGGTTGAGAGCTAAGCGACACAAATGAGCGATAGGACAAGGGGGAGGAGGGGGGGGACGGACATTTCTTGAATAAGACGACGCCGGCGAAACCGCCATCGTCGAGGTCCCATAGGAATACTGAAGAGACGCCGCCTTCGAAGTACCTAGCCCAGCGCAAGTGGGGATTGCCCAGAGTGGGGCATTGGTGTTCAGGATGATGCATGCACGGAGGCAAGCGTGAATATAACCCTCACATTTCTCGGTAGGTATCAAATGCCTCGTTGGCTTTGATCTCGAGTTGGCGTAGTTTTGGCGTAGGCACAGTGCCATCGTCCAGCGGAGGATCATACTCATTCGACCATGGTGACCTATTTGATATACATCAGCCATCCTTAGTCCTGTACCACCACGGACGCGTATATACACCAACGCCCCAGCTGCCGTATTCAATCACGCAAGCCCACTACTCACCTATAGCTCTCCCCATCCCGATTATAATCGCAAGCTAAGTACTCCCTCCCCGTCGCGCGGTCCGTCTTGAGTTTCAGGGGCTGGTCGACGCTGCCCAGGAGGTCGTCCGCGTAGTCTGGGCAGATGTTGACGAGTGCGGAGACGTTCTCCTCGACGCGCGTGGGCGGGAGCCGGCGCATCAGGTCCAGCATCGAGTCGACGAGGTCCGTCATAGTGGGCGATGTAGGTAGATCAGGGTATTACTGGGGGTCGTAAGTAATGAAGGGTGAGATGGGGCAGGCTGTTATTGCAGTCGGTTAATCCTAGTAACCGTGCACACTTGTTGGGAGTGTTCCACGGCGTGAATTGGGTGTTTTGTGGCAAGCTGCCCGAGTGTCACGTGCCATCCGACCTCCATCCGGCAATTGGGACTCAAACTCAGGCTTTCCTTCCACCATCTTAGACCGTCGATGCGGGCAGCACTCGGATAAATAAGGGAGATTGTACAGTTCCGAGAGTGACTCAAGAAATCATGGCGGACAAAGGGAAATCATCCGGCAGGGGGGACAAGCGGAGGAGGTACCGATCGGTACGTCCAATGCCTTTCTCTGGATGCACTATCTATAACAACTACAGGACGGCACACCAATATGGGGCAAGCGAGCCATAGACGGTCCTGGTATCTGGGTTACCTGTGTCAAGGGAAAGGAGAAACAGACCGTCGGGGAGCTGTACGATCTCTTCGAAGCTGTAAGCGCTCCTCGAAATCTAGCTCCTGGACGTTTAATCGGTCTGACCACCCAAAGTCAGCTCGCTGAGGAAATGTGGCCAGCGCAAGCCCATGATGGCAGCGACAATGATGAGATGAACGACAAGGCAGACGATCTGGAAGCGCAGATCGCGAAGGAAATGGCTGCTATGAAGAAGCCTCGGAAGGAACAGATATTCGGTGTGTCACTATCTGCACGGTAAGAAATATCGTGGCTGAAGCTATCCATAGCGAATTGTCAAACGAACACACCGTGCGGTACAACTTCTGGACTGCGATTCCCTCGCGAGATAGTCTGAACCCCTCCATAGTGATCTTCATCTCGTGTAAGCCGCCGGTTGATCCTATCGCTCTTGTCATCAAGTACGTTCAAGATGTAGTGGAAACTGGGATAACGAGAACGAAGTGAGTCAAGAACGCTGTGACTGGCTGAGACCAACCCGTTCATACCCGCCTCACAGGTATACGCAGCGGCTCACCCCAGTGTCGGGATCTTGCGTAGCCAACCTACCTGAGATCTGTGGGCTTTTCAAGAAAGTCATTCTCCCCTTCTTCCTGGACGCAGGGGATAAAAAATATCGTGTAAGCTTCAGTACGTGTGCCCTCGAATAGCCGCCTGAAGGTTGCTACAGTACAAAATTGAGCTGCGAATACGCAACCACCATACAGTGTCCCGCGACCCCCTGCTAGCGGAATTAGCCGCCCTCGTACCAGAGGGACACAAGGTGGATCTGAAGTCACCGGAAGTGTTCATCCTCGTAGAGCTTTTCAAGGTAAATTTGCTCTCCTACATCATGCGCATTTAGTTTAATACAAACCGGCATATTTGCAGAGCGTGTGCGGGATGAGCGTAGTCAAAGACTACTATCGCCTACAAAAGTTCAATGTGATGGAAATAGCAAACACGAAGCAGGAAGGAGCCGATTTTACGGAGGGTGAGGGCCGTGTGTCGTGATTTGGCAGGTACAGGACAGCTTGTTACATATGATGGTAGTAAACCTCGTCCACGATTCCTTGAATCTGACGTCTCTCAGGATGCCCTAAGTCATGACTGGTGCGGAGACCTGCGCAAATCCTGGCTGTCCCTTTGTAGTCGTAAACTGATCGAATACAGCCCTCTCCTCCAGATAGACCCGCTCATAGTCAGAAACATCGGCCTCCAATCCATAGCTTTCGGCCACTTGCTGACACACCTTTGCCCTCGCCATCCCTACCATACACGCAATCAGTCTTCTTGCACCATCCTGATCAGCACCAAGTTCCATCTGGCTCGGATGATCCCTGTTCGTGTTGAGGATGACTCCCTCGACGACGTCAATCATGGCACCTCCTGGCATAGGCCGCCGATACACGTGCACCAGCTGGAAGAACGGTCCGCGCAATACCACCTCTTCCTCCGCGTACGCCGAAAACCGCTGAATCGGCACTGCACACATTGTTGTCACCACACTCGTAGGGTAGTGTTGATGATAGACACGGAGCAGTTCTCGGTCTAGGTTAGCGACGTAGATCCGCCACAAGACCGGATGCATGTGGTCCGTCCCATGGGCGTTTGCCTGCTGGAGGGCGAACTGCACGGCGATCTTTTCATCTAGACTACAGGATACGATTGCCAAGGGAATGGACCAGAATCTCTCCCTGATCGGCATGCGTGCCAGCTCATAGAATGCGTCGAGCTGTTCTGTGGAAAGGCACAGACCTCGATGGACAGTCCCGGTGAACCCGACATCCCTCATCCCCTGCTCGATGATGTAATTGAAGAGCTCGATATTCAAGAGCTCGACGAGAAACACGGCGGACACCAACCGCTCGTTATCGACATCGTGAGTACGTAAGGCTTCATTGACGACCTTGAAGATATGTGAATATCCTCCGGCTGTGGTGTATAATTGCAAAACACCATAGTCTTCAAATGGGTCGCCGTCCCGTTGTCTGTCGGACCACTGCTTGTACCTGGGCAGAGCGTCCAAGATAGGAGACACGGTTTCATGTTCACTGAGCTGCAAGAACAAGTCGCGCAAGCGGGACAGGAAATCCGCATAGAGATGCCAATTTCCCCGAACGTGATGGATAGTTTCGCGAACGTGGCTCATACGCATATCGACCTCTTTTCCATTATAAAACGACCGCAAGGATCCACCGCCGCTTCCGACGGTGAAAAAGCTCGACGTGGAGTCGGTGTCGCCAAAGCGAGCCGAGCGCGCCTGCGGCACAAGTCGCGACCGAGTATTCAATTGCAGAGTGGGGACAGATTTTGGCGTTGCATTGTATGCCTGCCACACTCTTTCGTCGCTGCCCGGCGCAAGTAGTCCGGATATGAAGGCACGACAGATGGATTGTTCCGTCGTCGATCCCGTGTTTGCGTAATTGAGCACGTACCCCGTGCCAGGGATGCTGGACCCGCAATAGACGAGGATGGGTGCTTGATACTGATGGCCACGCATGTAACGGACGATGTTCTCTCCGGCAGAGAATGTGAAGATATCATCGTTGCCCCCGGCGCTTTCCCATCTTGCATTATCGGTAATGATACGCAGACTGGATGTCCTGTCCAAGTCCTGCATCTCTGAAGACAAGCCACGATCAGAACTGATACGTCATATCAGCTAATATACTTACCCAGGTGCTGTTCAAGCCATTCCTTGAGGGCGGCAGTTGATGTAAATTGATGGACTTGGATATGGTGACGGCGAGCGAATGCTACTTCAGCTCTATTGTTCCCTGGGTTATCATCAACCCAGAGCAGGCATTTGTATGCATCACTGCTAGAACAGAGTGATACTGCAGTATCGATTAGGTCGCAGTCCGGCCCGAGCGAGACATCTCATACCTTCGCCCCGACTGCGGATACGCTGTATGACATCTGTAAAGGAGCCTTCACCTACAAGTCTATCCAAGATAGTTGGTGTTACCACATTGATTCCAAATTCGTCGAGGCGTAGCCAAAGGGTATCGAAATCGTTTTCCGAGAGATGGAAGAGCGGATCCAGAGCCACCCTGAACCGTGCTCGTGCAGCATATGCATCCTTCAGTTCGTGTCCACTTCAGAGATACCAGTGCGTACACAGTCAAACGTACCTCATTGCCGAAGGAATTAGACCAGAACTGCCGTACACTTGGGTTCCCGACGGTATCCAATAAGCTGACACCATCGTGAGGTGTAGGAGATGCATAGCTCTGGGTCAGGAGTACAGTCTGCAATAACTGGATGCGCTGCATTAGAAGGTCATTATCGCGTTTCAGCTTGCCCATAACCTGCGACGGAAAGAAGAACGCGTGAATTGTTGTTGCGGAGAGCTGTCCCCCTTTTAACGCCATCAAGTGTTCTTGTATAGAGCAAAGGTTCTCCCCGATATCAAGCAGGCACAGGACGACACCTGAAGGGAGACTCCTTCGTGTAGAGAGAGGATAGATGATCTCTTGAACGAGTCGGGCATTATCGCGAACTGTTTGAATAGTCTCATCAGCCTGCTGAGAGCCATCGAGCCAGGTGAAAATGGAAACTGCCGCAGAACAAGCAGAGGATAGGATGGAGAAGGGATCCATAATCTCCGTTCGGTAAGGATGATAGATAGCAGGTTATAACACGCACCGAATCGTTGACAGGGGTCTCATGAAAGCTCAGAAAGATCGTCCAAAGCTAGAATAAGCTTAGGTTACGTATACCAATCTGCGCTAGTTGGTTAGATTTAGAACAAGTGTACGTGGATGAACCGTTACGAGACGAAGTCTCCATTCACAACATGCTCGGATGCTCATATTCACGGAGAGGGCACGGATATGATCATGAGGACTGGGGTGCGGCAGAAACGGACGAAAACACCACCTGATGTTCAAGCAAATGGACTCGTTGACTTTTCCCGTTCAAAATAGAACAAGCGTAACTTTCCGGTGGCTATTCGTCTTGAGGTCTTTGTGCCCGGGCCCATCTAACCCGCACTGAATCAGGGCAAGCTGACGGTAGACGTTATGTATTCAAGCAATACTACTTAACCACGATCTCTGATTGGTGTCGCATCCCAGAAGAGTTGCCGCGCGTCCGGATTGCGTCCGGACGCCTAGTTTAGACCGTCTGTGTTATCCCTCATACACATGCACTGGCAGAAGCGTCTGCGACGGCAGATGAGGCAGTGAATTCAGCTGCAGAAGTCCTTTGATTCGCCTAATGTGCATGTCAGTGGTTCTCTGGAAGAGGACAAACTTTCAAGACCTGCCTGCAATTCATGATCAGGCCCCGACAAGGAGTAGCTCCCACCCTCCGACGACGACCAGCCCGAGATCCGCTTGATTTAAGGAGCTAAGGAGGTGGTCGAGGTACGCATTTGCCCAACATGAGGCTGGCTAGTTACCCTTCGACTCTGTAGCTCGTGATAAGATCGCGTCGCGACAAGCCTACTGCAAGTTCAGCTAGTCGCTGAGACTTACTCCGGCCACTGGAGCTGGCCCCTGTTGCCTACGTTTGATCCAAAGAGTTGTGTACGACGAACGTGTGTTCCGCCGATGTCTCCCGCAGTCAATCCATTTACTTTGACGCTCGAATACCCACTCAGATCAGAAGATTCGGTTTCAGACTGTGAGAAGTTTTCTCTGGCTACTGGAGCAAACGTGCACTCCGGTCTCCCTAGGACGACGGCTCGGGTGCTGTTGCAGTCTGTCATGCATACGGCTCCGAGTGCACGGCGAATGTCATCGATTGCGATGACTCTCGGGGTGATTTATATGCTTTCAAACATGAGGACACTCCCACGGAGCTGGTGCATGACCTTTGCCTCTCGGAAATTATATCTCTTAACCCCATCCGGCCTACCGAAGATGCATATGCCCAGCTTCATCAAGAGTTGTCTGTCTGGTCTGCAGTGCTGCTCCTTATCCAACTGTGGACATCGATCTCCGGGCTGGCCTCTGGTGCTCCTGATCCGCCACGCTATCACGGTAGGATCGTGGCAAGTAATCGAGCGTTCAGCGTGGCAGATACAATATACGATCCGGGGAGTCCTTCAGCGGTATAGCTTTGGAAGTTGAAGGGAAGGCGTCTTTCCCTCGACTGCCACGCTAAATGCGCTATGGAGTTGGTTGGGCGCTCACGCAGTCAGCCTTCCTCTTGTCCATTCCCAGAAGTTCATTTGCGCTTCTTCGACTGCATTGTCGAAGATTACAGATATTTGGTTTCATACTTTCCGTGAGCTCCTTCTGCGCAGACTCGAGCTTCATCGACTCAGCATGCATCGAAGGTCTTTGCGCCACACTGGCCTCCCCTTCCATCAATTGTGCGGTGCTTAGCCGTGGACCGCGATACAGGGTGCGTGGTTGTACCGCTTGCCTCGGGTCTCCCTGTTCTGCAGAGCTAGGCCTTGAGCAAGAATAGACACCGGAAAGTTGCGCATTCAATTGAACGGGCGTCGATGGACACAGCTCTTGTCGTGATGATATCACACGATAATGGACGCCCAGTGCTACTAGTAATAGACTTCAAACTGATCAATCAGCCCAGAATAACCTAAGCTTATTCCAGCCATGGGCGATCTTTCCATCCCTCTGCCTGGAGACTACCGTCGATGATTCAGTGCGTCTTATAACCTGTCATCTATCCTGTTCACCATAAGGCGATTATGGACCCCTTCTCTATCCTCTCCTCTGTGTTTTCTGCGACAGTCTCCGTCCTCACCTGGCTCGATAACTTGGAGCAGGCGAATGCCACTATCCAAGACCTTCACAGGAATATTCTACTCATTCACAATATCATTCACCCTCTCAATGGACGCCCAAGTCTCCCTCCAAGCGTCGTTATGTGCCTTCTTGCTATAGGAGAGGACCTCTGCTCTATACAAGAACACCTGATGGTGCTGAAGAGCGGAAAGGTGTCCCAGACGACGATACTCGCGTTTTTATTTCCGTCAAATGTTACGAGCAAATTAAAGAGTGATAATGACCTTCTAATGCAGCGCATCCAGTTATTGCAGACTGCGGTCCTGACCCAGCCGTATACATCTCCTACTCCTCAGGAAGGTATCGGCTTGTTGGATTCTGTCGGGAATTCCAGTGTACGGCAGTTCTGGTCTGATATCTTCCGCAACGAGGTACGATTATATTAGGTATTCACTGAAAGTTATGTCTAAAGCGGCCACATACTGAAGGATGCATACGTTACACGAGAGCAATTCAGGGTTGGACTGGATACATTGTCTCATCTCTCAGAAGAAGACTTCGACACCCTCTGGTTACGCCTCGACGAATTCGGGATGGGAGTGGTGACACCGATGACCTTGGATGCATTTGTCGGTGACCGTTCCAAGTCCTTGAAAGATACTGTACGGGGAATACAAAGTTATCCCATAGGTACGGGATATCACGATCGTATGCCGCACTGTACCCTAATTCATACCGCAGCGCGACTTGGTTCTAGTAATGATGGATGCAAAGTCCTGCTCTGGGTTGATGATAATCCAGGCAACAACGAAGGCGAAGTGACCTTCGCCCTTAAATGCAATATCCAAGTATATCAGTTCACATCAACTGCTGCCGTCAAGGATTGGCTCGAGCAACACCCCGGTAAAGGTGCCTCATAATATGAAGATCAGCTCTGACACTGTTATGCTTAGAGATGCATTATTTGGACCGAACATCCTGTCTGCGTATCATTAGCGACAATGCAAGATGGGAAAGCCGCGGAGGTAACGACCGCGGACATGATATGTTCACCTTCTCCGCCGGGGAGAATCTCATTCGTTACCTGCGAGGCCGTCAGTACCAGGCACCCATTCTCGTTTACTGCGGATCCAGCATTCCCGGAACGAGATATGTGCTCAATTACGCAAACGTGGGATCGACAACGGAACAATCCATCTGTCACGCCTTCATCTCCGGGTTACTCGCCCCGGATGGCGACGACAGAGTGTGGCAGACCTACGATGCGCGACCAGTGTTCGTCCCCACTCTGCAGACAGCACGCGTACCGCAGATACGCTGGGCTGGCGTACGTGCCAGTGGTAGATCCCAGTGAAATCCTACAAGACTCTGTACTATGTAGTAAGATCATATGTTTCCTGTATACCATTTGTATTGACAACTGGTATGAAAGCACAGACAATGCCTTGATGATTTTCAGAACCTTGTCGAATTTCTTGATATCAGGTCCGAGCCTGAGAGGAAGTTGAACATTTTGTTCTATGCATAGTCTGCATAGCTACGCGTACTTGTTGAAAACGCGATTTACACTGGAAGCAGCTGGACGAATCACGATCGCCAGCCATTGATGTGGCTGTACGTACCACGTGTTCGTCCTCAGGCTCTTCTGGTAACGGCCACAAACTTGAGGCAACGACGCTGGGATTTTCAGACCTTAGGACGGAAACAAAAGCCTGCAATCCAACCGGGATGCACTTTGAATTCGAGTTACTTACTGCATCGACCCAGAGGAAGACTATATTGGAGGGGCGATGCTACAGCTTTGACAAAAACACAAAAATGACAGAGAAAGGTAAAATGTCTGGCAGGGGCACAAACAGAGGGACTGTCCAGTACGTCCAATGCCTTTCTCAAGATACATTATATGTAACGATCATAGGGTGGCAGCCAATATGGGCAGGGGAGCTAGAACTGGCTCAGGCTTACGGGCCTCGAGAAGCACGCCATATTGTCGAAACATGTAGTAAGCGCACCTTCGGATATCCAATACGGCGCGCCCAATTGGTATTATACCACTTGAAAGTACGCTTGCTGAGGAAATGGCCGGTGAAGCCCAAGATGGCCGCAGCAATGACGAGAGGGATGTTCCTCCGCCGGTTGACGCTGTCGCACTTGTTATCAAATATTTCAAGATATGGTGAAAACAGGCATAATGATGACGGAGAGGATGTTTCTTTGGTTCGTCTGTGAGTACTCGCCAATCCGTGACCAGTACTCTTTTAGGAATCTTCAGAGATGTGGCGATCGCAGTATCCGGCGAGTCTACCGTGTGTAAAGACCTTATCTGCTTGCTTCATCACCTAATTGCAGATGCCATTTGAGAGGTGCGTAGCTCCAGCGCACGGTGAGTGGCCAATGCAGATGCAGTACCTTGTTCCAATGTTCTTACAGTAGGGTAGGGAGGAATAACCACTTCGCCCCGTATAGCTCTCCACTGAGGCGAAGTCGAACATCGTCCAGCCCTTACACATTTGTGTTCGTCGGCTTGCCCGCTGCAAGCGTTCAACGACGGATATCTGACATAATTACCATTATGCAGGGGAGGACAATGATAAGTAAGCAAGTTCTTCGCCTATGTCTCTGCAGGTTTGATTAACAGTGCCATTTTTACATCGCGGGTCTGGGCGACGAGGGACTGCTTTTATCTCAAGGACGTCTCATCGCACGCCATACACGTGACCTCTGACGCGTAGCGGCCGATAAGGCATTTATACCGTCTACCCCAGTTATCGCGAGGCAAGAAGCATTCTTCGAAGATCCTTCAAACTTCATTAGGATGACGATCGACCTGCCCGCTCGACCTTTGAAAGTAGCCATCATCGGAGGCGGCCCCGGTGGTCTCTCGACTGCAATCGCATTGTCCAGGATACCAAATGTCGACGTGACTCTGTACGAGCAGGCCACCGTTCTTAGAGAGGTCGGAGCAGGTATCAGCATCGGTCAAAATACCTGGAACGTCCTGGAGCTCCTCGGTGTCGCGGACACGCTGACCAGTGGCCATGTCACGTCAACTGTCCTCAACCTGTGTGAGCTCTCTTTTCCGGGCCTCGGGCCTAGCGAACTGATTCAAATTTCCAGAAATGGCAAGACAGGAGAGGAACTGCACCGTTTCGAGCGAAAGGAGCTCAAGAAACGTCCGAACCTTCGTACCCAGCGCACCAAGCTACAATCAGCGCTTCTGAGTCACGTCCAGCCTGGAGTCATACAACTCGGGAAGAAACTCATACACCTCATGGACAACGAGGACCATGTGGAGTTGCATTTCAAGGACGGAACTGTGACAACGGCCGACCTCGTCGTTGGGGCGGACGGCATCCGCTCTGTGCGCCTTCTCATATGTGCATCGCAGGACATGTACTGATATTTCTTAGGTCGTAAGAGATACTGCTTGGCATGGCTACGAAATCAAGTTTACCGGTACGACCATCTGGCGCGCTCTACTTCCATGGGACGACGTGAAAGACCTCGACCCTCGCTTCGACACAACAGCGTGGTGGCATCTCCCTACCAGTCACGTGTATCTCTCGCCCGTCGGCGAGGGTCTCGGTGAGATCGCAGCGAGGCAGTGGCAGGATCCCGCCATTCACAGCGCCAGCAAAGTCAGCTGGGGCGTTCCCGTGTCGAAAGAACACGTCGAGTCTCACTTTACGGTAGGCTACTTTGGAAAGATCCAACGGGATTCACTTTGGCCTCCTTCTGATGGTGCGACAGGACTATCTGCCGGCTATACGGGAAGTGCTTAGGAAAGTACAGGAAGGGGACTGGCGAGAATTTGCTGCGTTCGCAGGCCCCGAACTCTCTCGACTCACCGCATGGAATAATAAGGTCGTTCTGGTCGGAGATTCGTCACACGCACTCTCTGGGGCGTTCGGCTCAGGCGCCGGATTTGCCATGGAGGACGGCTGGATCCTGGCGCAGGCCCTCTCCTATCACCGGAACGACCTCAACAAGGCATTGCCACTATTTGACGCTATTCGGGTGCCATATTATACGCGTATGTACAAGCATATCCAGGCGGAAGCAGCCGCACGGGAAAATAAGCTGCGCGAGCTTGGAGACGTCTCTGAGGAAGACCGCGTCAAAATCAAAGTAATCAAAGACGGCGGAATTGATATGAGCTGGATCTACGAGAACAATATTGGGGAAGTGTGGCAGGCACGGGTTGAGAGTCGTACATAAGAGAAGGGTATTCAGGATAGAGGATCGTGGTCGGCAGGTGCGCCTATGGGCAGTGCCGACGTAAAGGCTGGAATCAGTTTGGCCAACTCTGGTGAGCAGAACATTAGCTAAAGAGCCTTATAACACCAACAGACATCTCGGGCGTTACCAGATTTGTTACTTTGCTGAGGCTGGTCACTGTGTCCTAGCTCTCGCATGGCACGGTCTTTAGGTCCTGGGATCTTGTGAGTGCCTTGTCTGGTTTCCGTTGACTATAGTTCATCACTACTTCTCTACCTTCCGTAAAGGTTAGCATCTTTTACCTTCCTGGGATGCCTTTTACCCGATTATGTAGTCGTGGTAGAGCCCGAGTCTATATTTTAAGATCTAACAGGATGTGGCCTTGTTAGAACGTGGGCTTGCGTTTATGCAGGTTCGTGGCTAGGTGGGTGTGGCAGACGTGAAAGTACCGTGCCCTCGGAGCCTATACGATCCTGTGATAAGCTTTTCCATCAAGCCGCCCCAGTATCAGTCGTTGCATGAGTCGTGGAGCTCGCTCTCGTGCAATCATAAATAGCGCGTGCGAGGTCAAAGACATTAAAGTGTGTGTTACGGCCTACCTACTCCCATAGCATAACGTGATATGTTGCAAGGCTACCGGCGTCTACCGGAGCCGTTCAAATTCAATGTATTGGACGTCCTGCTACGTGAGACCAGGTGAGACTTGTGGTTGAGTGTATATGTCGTGATCAATTGATCATGATAGATGATCAACATGTACTATCAGTACTTGATGCACTCTTGCTTTGGATTTTCGTTCGAGTTTCAGGTGATCTCCCTATAACTAGCGGCCCTCGAAATAACTCCCTCCGCGTCGTGTCAAGATGAAGCGATCCGTTTCGCATATATTGCTCATTCACCCAGACGCACAGCGGTCTGCTAGCGCGTTGAACTTGATGTATTTACGATCATCTGCAGGCACGTTCCTTGGAGTTTTCGAAGATGTCGGCCCTGGTCAGGACTCTGTATGGTCTACTCTACCCACTCTCAACGACGTAATTATAGGCCGGTCTACGGACTGCTCACGGATCATTACTACCAGAGATTCTCGAAGTCCGCCTGATGGGCTAGTGAGGATTTCAGTTCACCTTCCCTGTCAGACGAGACGCACATCTCGAACGAGGCCGCCATGGCAATGCTACCGACATACAGTGGGAGTAAAAGACAGAGTGGATAGCTGTCCAAAGACACCATAAATTTGAGTCGTACACGGCAATATCCTGCGCGTTCCTCATCTTTCCAGTTTGACATATGTGCCCTCACTTTGCCAGCAGATTCGTCCTACTGGCGCTGACAGTCTTGCGCTGCTTACCTGCAGTACTTTGCGCGACCAATCGGACTGTGGATGACCAGTGGGGAGACCAAGTTACAGGCTCCATGCCCATCTACGCCCCTGCAGATAACTGGCAGCAGGGCGCAAACTGCTCGACATGTTATTCTCGACCCAACGCGAGCGCCGCCCATGACGGGTCATGGCACGACACCTCCTATATTCCCGGCGGACCTGCGCCGATGGCCGTCAGCTATCAGTTCAACGGTATGCCGTTTGTTTATTTGGAACGTTCGGTCCATCGGATTGAAGGATGTGACGCAGGAACGGCTGTATATGCATACTGCATTATAGACAACCACTCGAATTACACCACTCTCACAAACCTTACCTTCAGCCTGGACAACCGGACGGTTGGGTCATACACGCACACCCCTAACCCGCTTGCACCCATTTTCGAATACGGCGTCCCCGTCTACGCGAACGCCTCGATTCCCAACGGAGAACACACCTTCGAATTGGAAGCTACCGCGGGCCACGACGGATCGGTCATTCTATTTGACTACCTGCAGTATACGTGAGTATCAGATCCATTCTCTCGACGCTAGGGAGGGCGTAGTACAGACATTGCGCGAGGCAGGTACGAGGAACCGAGTGACCCGCGCAGCACATCTGGGTCTGGCGGCCGAAACACCGGTGCCATCGCCGGGGGTGTCGTGGGCGGGCTCGCCGTCCTGGGCCTTGTGATCGCAGCAGCCGGCGTCCTCCTGGTGCAGCGGAGCCGCAGGCACGCGGCGACGCCGTTCCTCTCGGGCGAAGGGCAGGGAACGACGTCTGCCTCCGCGGCCGAGCACACGTCGCCGAGCATGGTCCCGCCCCTCGGCAGGAAGATGCGCAACGTGGATCAACCAGCGGCGCCTCGTGACGTACTCACCCGGCAGGTCCATGCCGCGCTCCCTACGTCTCCGGCGTGGTCGCATCGTATAGACGCGTTGCAGCAACAGGTGGAGAGACTCACGCAGGAGCAAAGGGTCTTGGCGTATGAGGTGCGCGACACTGTCGTGCCCCCGCCGGTGTATGAAGGATAGCCGAGGAACAAGAACGCTGTCCGTGGTCTGTGTATATGTGCTCTGGTTTGATGTCTCCTTGGCCACGAATTCGAGTGCCGGGGCTAGCAGATTGGTGACAAGGGTTTAGCGGTTGCAAAGCAGGGTGCCGTCGAGGTGCAGGGTTTTAGCGAGCCGCAGCGCTCAGGCAGCGGGGATACGACTAATGTTCGGCTGGCGATTCTCTTATATTATGATGACGGGGATATTTCGCGAACGTACAGTAAGACGATGGGGTCTGCGAGGCGAGTCGACAGTTTCTCGACTGCGATTATGACACTTCTTCTGCATCACAGTTCTCGTGATCCTCGCGAGGGAGTCAGAGCGTCTCGGATCGACCTCGACACACCGAGTGATGGCGGCCGCTTCTGTGCCTAAGGGGAAACCAATGGCCTTTTCAGCTGACAAAAAATCCACGAGACTTTCAGGAAAATCACCCTGGAGCTTGGGTAGCAGAGAAGTTACCAAAACCAGTAGAAAGTCTAAGACATCCATGGAGCATGGACGACATTTGTGGACTCAGACTGCATGTTGTCTGCCAGATGTCTGCTGTCTCTGTCACCGAGACTCTGTTAGGAAGCGATATCCTAACTAGTCGTCTTGAGATAACTGGGCCACGTGCCAACAGTTATGTCGTCACTACCTCAGTAAGCGTACTGAAAGGTAGGTCTGGCCGGGCCAATGCCAACGGTCAAGTCAAGAGTCCAGGTAATCGCTGTATTCAACAGGAGGTTGAACTAAGGAATACATGGGTTTTCCTACAGTATATATAGTAACTGGTATAGGGGTTAATACCCAAAGAAGAGAACAATAAGAAAGGACGCGTAAGCCATCCTGTGAGAACGTAACTCAGAGAAATGAGAAATACAAGGGCGCCCATTGGTAGAAGGTGAGTCAAGGAAGATAACGTGTGAGAAGAAGATAGCGTCCATGGGAAGGTCTACTCGGAGAAAGGTACTGTCCAATAGCAATGCTCGGAATGGAAATGGAATGAGATAAGCATGGGAAAATCATAACATTACCCCCTTCCTATGGTCGAAGTTTACCCAAACTTCCTAGTTATGACCGGTTACTGAACCGTCCAGGTCCACAAGAGTGCCATCATCGTAGTCTTGTTCTTCGGTGGCTTCTTGGATAGCATTGTC